TTTTTTTTTTTTTTTGTACCAGGGATCAAATGCAGGACCTTGTGTTTGCCAGGCAGGTGCTGTGCCACTGCACAAGTTTGATTTGATAGATAATATATTTAAAAAACTTGGATCCATGAGGGTGTAATGAGTGAAGAAACGGCTTATGCTAGAAGGTAGCCACTTCTGGTTTGGTTCTGAAGCTGCTGATTACTTCAGAGTGAGAAATTAGAGATGCTAAAGGTCAGTCTCAGAAAGCAAAAAATTAGTCCTCAGAAAGCAAAAAGCTTGATTTCTGATGTTTTGTTTTGCCTACAGTTGGCTTTGTCTCCTTTCTGGAAATCAGTGTACCTGGTTTCTTTGAGAGGCACCTATTAGTGGAGGGGTGTTCAGTTGGCCTGTGGATAGGTCACTGGCCCTTGGTGGTCAGCCTGGGAGGTGTACGTGCCCTGCCTTTTGGGGTGCCTTTTAACACACATCTTCATAGGGTTGTCACCAGTGTCCTGGAGTTCGTGGAGCTTATCCATGGAGGTCTTCAGCTCAGGGAGAGGAACCCTACCCTGGTGCATGCAGATTCTTCCCGATCTCACCTAATCATCACAGTGACTCTGACCGCAGCCACCTCCTTGGCCAGCACTGGTGAGTTGCCATTTGCACTGAGTTAGTTCCAGTTTAGAAAAGAAATCCATTCACCAAGAAACACTTCATGGGGCTGCAGGATCAAAGGTATACTGGCAGACCTTAGAATAGGAATTGCAGCCACATAATCTGATGATCTGGTCCTCTAAGCCAGGAAGAGAAAGCCAGGAAAGAAAGCTCTTGGATGGATTAAAAGGAAGACAGGGTATACTTATGGCTTGAAACACAACATACCATTTGTGAATGGAACTCAGTGTAATTTCAGTTTAAAATGGAAGTTACAGACTGTACCACAGAGAAAACAATTCCACCTACCCAAGAAAAGCAAGGTATGTGTCACACAAGCCTGCATGGCCTAGGGCAGTGGCCCTCAGATCCTGGCTTCACAAATCATCATCCACTGGGCCTATGCCTACATGGCCCGCAGCACAATCCCCAGCAGGCACATTTGGCAGGCCAGGGCGGCCCAGGGGCTGTTTCTGCAATTCATGGTGCCACGCACCAGGCCACAGAGCCACAGCTTGGTCTTGACTTCCCACTGTGTAACAGTGGGCCAAGTGGGCTACACAGTGATGATGATTTCTCCCTCTCACCGAAGGCCAGTGTCGACAGTCACTCTCCATCTTGTCACAGTGACACTCGATCCCCTGTGTTCTATGAGACTACCCAAGTCAGGAAAGGGACAGATGAGGCAGCACACTCATTCCTGTGGCCACCACCCAGTGGGTTGCAGGCTTGAGCCTACTGCAGGGGCAGGGGCAGTGCCAGGCACAGGACACATAGGAGCACCAGCTGCTTCCACCCAGAGATGCGCAGGAGACACATACAGTGGGAATGAGAAGGGCTTTGTGTTCTTCATTGTTTTGGTACCGGGGATCAAACTTGGAATCTTGCACTTGCAAGGCAGATGGCAGAACCACTGAGTTAATTCCCTGGCCCTTTTTATTCTTTTTTTCCCAATGTATATTTTCTGTTTTGCACAGTGAGTATATATTATTTAGGTTTAAAAAGTTACTTCAAGAAGTTTCTTTTGGCATAGCAGATGGCAGAACACTTCAAGATGAAGCAGTTGTTTGTAGGGTTTTGTGAAAGCTTATCCAACAGGAATGGTAGGATTTATTTCCAGATAGATATTCTGTCTGGGATTTTAGTTAAGATCATCGCCAAAACTTTCTAAGACGCATTTCTTTTTCTTGGGACAGATTAAGCATTAGTTCAGTTTTCCACAAGGAAGCCCGCTTCCTGCCTCCTCCTATCTTCCTCCAGAGAAGCCATCACCTATCCCTCTGCCCCTGTCCTGTCTCACTTATGTGACATGAGGGTAGAATTTCAGAAGCTTTTTAGCATTGATTTGAGGGAGCCAAGTTTGGTGACTTTGTTTCATGCCTGTCATTCTCTTTGCCAGACCAGCAGCCTGGGCAGATCCTCCCTGGGAAGCGGAGAACAGGGACAGGTAAGAGGTGGAGCCCCGCTCAGCAGGCTTCACCTGAGCCCATCCCCATGGAACCGGCGGGCAATATGAAGCAAGTGTGGTCCACACTGCAGCTGGTGGACTTGGCTGGCAGTGAGTGTGCAGGTGAGCAGGGATGGAAGGTTTGCCTGGGTGGACACAGCACTAGCAGTAGCCCTCCTCTGGGGACGCTGACAGAGTGGGACTATGCTGGTGCCTTGGAAGGTCTGAGCGTGGCATTTCCCCCACACAGGGGTGGCGTGATCTCACCACAGCAGTCCAGAACATGACCCCCACTCCCACACACATACCATGACACTTTGTAGCCAAAGGAGCTCAGAATTTCTGGCAAGCTCAGAAGAGACGTGTGAACATGGAAGAGCTCACTGTGACAACTCCCAGCCTGATGTCTCCGCTCTGAACTCCCTAAATGCATGCTTCTCCCAAGAAACAGTGCTGTTTACTGGCTCATTTGTGAGTATGTGCTGACTCTACCTGGCTTCTGCCCCTTCCAGGTGTGTCTGGGGTGACAGGCTTGGCACTGAGGGAGACCTCATTCATCAACCGAAGTCTCTCAGCCCTGGCAGATGTCCTGGCTGCCTTGTCAGAGCGCCGTGGCCACATCCCATACCGGAACAGCAAGCTCACCCACCTGCTGCAGGATTCCATCGGTTCGTCCTCCTGTTGTCTCTGAGGGTCCATGCAGGTGGCTGTCCTGGTCAGAGTCCTGGCTTTGCAGGGCGTTCTGTTACTCATCTCAGCATCTCCAGCACTGCTGCTGATTGACACAGAGTGCTTGCTGCATCCTCTCACTCACGTGGCTTGTCCCGAAGTTAGAGGCACACCCTTGCTGCTCCAGTGGCTGTCTCTCTGGGGCAATCTTGGGACACAGCAGGTCCCTGAGGGATGCTGGCCCATTGCATGTTCCAGGTGTGGGAAATGCAACTCGGTTAGTGAGATGGGAGGCACTTGGCAGCCTGCAGCCTTCAGGGTCTGGATCTGCTGGTGTTGGGACTGGTTCCTGCTCAGCTGCAGGCAGACTTTCTGTCAGACAGCTACTCGGGGTTTGCGCACTGGTATCAATGCCGCTTTTCACCAAAATTTTTTCAACTAGCATCTTGTTACTTTTCTTTTAAGGAGGGGATGCGAAGTTACTGGTGATTCTCTGTGTGTCTTCTGGGCAGAAGCACGTGGTGGAGACGCTGCAGAGCCTTGAGTTTGGGACCAGAGCTCGGCAGGTCAAGCAAGGACGTGTCAGGAAGAAGCCTCCCCACTCCCAGAGGAGGGAGTTGTGCCTGAGCTCTGCCTAGAATGAATTCTTCTCCCTTCTTGTGCTTGCTTATGATGTGTGTATCGGAGAAATAAACACGTTTTGCTGAGACTCGATGAGTCTGGTTTTGTTCCCAGGGACCTGCAGGTCACCAGATCAGAGGGTGGGGGAAGAGGCAGCCTGTCTTAGGGACCTCTTCCCGAATGGGGCAAATGGCCTGAGCAAGGAGCTGCTGGGTCTTGCAGGCAGCAGTGGCGGGGAACACCACTAAACCAGGCTCCACGCCTGTCACCTCATCGGGCACAGACCAGGCAGCAGTGCTGTGATCTCTGCACATGTGTCTGGAACCAGACAAACTTGGGCTCTGCCCTCTCCTGCTGTGTCCCCTCCCCACTGGGTTAGAGCCCTGTGCTTCACCTGTGAGTTGGTCAAGGTTGGAGGGTCAGCAGCAACACAGGAAAGGTGCACAAGTGCCTGACATTTAGCTGTCCTTCCTCCTTGTCAGGCTGAGGCGCAGGCTGAGCACAGGTGACAAGTGGCTGCACATCTGAGAGGAGAGGGGTCTGTGGGTAGTTAGGGCCCTGGGGACCCAGATGAGAAAAAATCTCATCTCCTCAGCCTCTTTGAGCCACAGCGTCCATTACCTTCTGGCCAAAGGCAGCACAGCTCCTTCTAACACATCATAAAGCTAGGGCTGGTGCAGCAGACCTGCTCTTCCACTGCTGTCCAGTGTATGATGAAGAGGAGGTGGCACCAGGTCACAATTTTAACACAATAGCTCTGCCCCTTGGTTCTGGAACATTCTGGGCCAGTTCTTACCTCCCTCAGACTTCAGAGGGGCTACTGGCCCGTGGGACAGCTGCACCTAGCCACCCACAAAGAAGGGACAGAGGATTAGTTTGAAGTCAGCTCGGTGTCCATCTCAGTCCCCTTTTGCTAGCTAGAGCCCAGGGACCAAGCCAGTGAGCTTGCATTAGCCCTCTCAGGTATCTGTGGATCCCAGGGTATATGGGGACAGGGGACAAGGGGCAGAGGGTGGTAGGGAACCCAGGGGCATCTTCCGTGTGATCATTGAGAGGGACTCTGCCCTGAAGGCTGCTTGGAGGAGATGGGGAATGAGGAGCCAGCACAGCAGTTCCCCAGGACCCTCCAGGACCATGAGATGGATCCAAAGTCTGTTTGTCCATCAGAGGGTGGGAGGGAGTCAGACCTGCACCGACACTTGCAGACTCCTCAGATACCGGGTGTGGAAGTGTTGTGACCCACAGACAAGGGGACAGTCCAGGTCGCTCTGGAGGTGTCACTTTTGCCTCTAGTGAGCAGCTTCACTTTGAGGTGGCCCCTGAAATCCCAATGCAATCTTATCTCTCCAAGTTCTGTTCCTGACACATAGCACAGGATCCAGGCAGTGTATCCCTCTACATGTATGTCCTCTCTGCCTCTCTAGGAAGGCATGCAGCCCCTAGCTCTGGCTTGGTGGCAGAGTGGCACGAGTTTTGAGGATGGCCTCTGGCTGGGCACCAGTGATGCTGCTCCCCTGGCTGGAGCTGGGTCCTAAGGGGACGCAGTCCTCCCCTGGCCCTTCCAGGACTTTTCATGGACCGACAGCTGGGAGGAGGCAGTGGTGGCCCCCAGAGTACGCTCTCGCTGGAGCCAGGCTGCTTGGCTGACCCCTGCTTCTAGAGCCTTGACAGGCCTCTCCAGTGCCCCAGAGGCCAAGGCTGGGTCTCAGGAGGAATGCATGTGTCAGGGAATTGGGGTACAAGCGCAGACCAAGAGTAACTCTGTTTTTATCAGTGATGGGTTTGGCTCTGAAAATGAGGCTGGGAAGCAGGTTTCTGAGACAAGCCACAGCTGACTGCTTTGGTGCAGAACTGGCTTAAATGCCAGGAAAACGTTTCTGCTTTTATCCTGTCTTAGTTGTGTACCCCACACGTGGCTGAGGGGAGGTGTGGGCTGCCTGGGCCCTGACAAGATCCCTTCTGCTTGGAGTGAGGCATGGGATCACTGATGGGGAGGAGCCGTGCCCTTGTCAGCAGGAGTCCAGCAGGGTCACCTAGGTACAGACTCCAGGGCCTCCTGAGGTGGACACTTGGGACCAAGAGTGACTGAGGAGCTGGAGATCCTGCCAGCAGTGGGGATCAGGGCAGGTGAGGAGCTGAGACGGTCTCTGTCCACAGCTTTTCCCTGGTGGCCAGGGACCTCCGTCCCCAAGAAGGGCAATGAGCAAGGTGTGTAGGGTATCGGGCACATGTCCCTAAAAGTCAGCCTCTCTGCAATTAGAGGCCCCAAATTCAGAATCCCCATTTTGAACCTGATTCTGAGGTCTGAAAATTTCATAGAAGGTTTTAGGGGATCCTTTTTCAGGAAGAAAGGGTCAAAATTATAAATTCGAAAGTGAATATGAAAATAAATGTAGAAACATTTTAAAACCATCAAACCCCAACTTTGCAAAAGCTAGCAAATAACTCAGATAATCACAAAATTTAGTGACAGTACTCACTGATTGCCTATGACTGATAAACAGTGAATTCATCTACAACGTATGTTTCCTGTGTTTCTCAGCTGGGCTTTGTTGGTCACTCCTTCATGTGACTTTGTGAAATACCCAGCTGTCCCCTGCATGGCTGATGACACGTGTTTCTGTTTCTGGAAGTCGCCTTTCCCTTTACAGCTCCATTTGGTGGCACCATGAGGATGGTTGGGATGGGTCGCTATGTCTGGGTTGCTCTCTGCCTGCTTCTGTCTGTACAGACTGCAGCTCTGGTGGGACACATCTGTGTCACAATGCGACCTCTGCCCTTCGAGGTCCATTTCAGGAAGCCTGCTGCCCCCACCGTGAGGGAGAGATGATGTCCTGAGCCCCATTACCTTCTCCCACCAGTGTCAAAAGCATCTCCAGCTCAGCCCCCTATGTTTGGGTTGCTTCTGCCACAGGAGCTACGGTGTTGGCTGTGACGAGAAGGGTGATGGGCCGGGTGGGGAGGAAAGGTGTTCCAGCTCCCACAGCTGAAAAACCTTACTTCTGCACATTTTACAAAGCCATGCAGCCACATAAGCACACGGCCATCCCCAAAGCTTAGTCTCCCTTGGAGTACTGTGACACTTGCCCCTGCCTGGGTGAGGCCACCTACCTGGACTCCTGACTAGAAGACATCCCAGCCCCATCCCAGTTTAGAAAGGATGCTCCCTTACAGAAAGGAAGGACTGTACCTGGAATTCTCTATCTTTTGAGGGGAGGCTGTGACCAGGGTGCATGGAGGACGGAGATAGAGCTTTGTTTCCCAAGAAAAGGTGCTTGCAAAGTGCAAATGCTGGTGAAAAGTCAGAACATAGACTGGGCTCCATACTCCCCCAGGGAGGAGGGGAGTGAGATCCCTGCTAGGGCCCGGAGTGGGCCTTGCCTTCCTCCCAGACAGCAGAGTCTGCCCTGCCCTGCTCCCCAGATAGCACCAGGCCGACAGCAGGGAGGCAGACTTCAGGTCCAGCCAAACCATAAACATTTGCAAGGGACAGTTGCAGTGACACCAACAAGTCCCTGGGTTGTCCTACCACATCTGGACCCCCAGCCTGGCCCAGTCAGAGCACCATGGTGTCACTCAAGGGTCCACCGCCAACTACTGTCTCTAACAAAGCTGCTGCCCACTGTTAGGGACCAGAGACAGTAAAAGGAAGCCTTCATTTCCAGATCCATGGACGTGTGGGGCTTGGCCTTGGCTCCTCTCCACACCCAAATTGCCTGCCCCATTGTCCCTCTTGGGCAGAGGCTGGGAGAAGCATGGCCTCTAATCACTCTCCCTCACTTACCCTGAAATGTCTGCAAAGAGAAACACTCGGTGGTCAGGGGTGCTCAGCACTTTGCCCCATGTCTGTCCGCAGCCCAGAGGAGGAACAGAAGCAACAGGCCCCTGGGCCCAGTGGTTTCCGGGTTAGCCAGTGGTCACAGTTCTCCTCCTCTGTGGGGATGCAGGGCGTAGTCTCGATCTCCATTTGGTCCTGGAGCTGCTGCCCACATGGCAGGGGCTGCCCAGCCTCTGCAGCTCTTGGGGTATCAGAGTGTTTCTGCTCAGCCCTCTCTTCCTGACCCTGTTCTGCAAGATGGGGACACAGTAGGCATGGGAAGCACAGGGCCTGGACTGGGCTGCCCATCCCAGGCCTCTGCCCTGACAGCAAGATAGAGCAAGATTTGCCCCAAGCAGTGCTTGTGAGGGTGGGTGACACCAGCATGGCTGGCACTGAGGAAAGGTCTACCTGGCACAGAGACTTGCCCTTCACAGAGCCCCAGAGCCACATATTACTAAGTGCAGGCAGAGGGAGCAAGACGGGCCCCAGAAGCAGAATGGCATAGGGCCAAGTTGTGGTCTGGCTTGGCCGCTGAGCAGCCTGGCAGCCGGAAGAACCAGGAGCAAGGTCTTGTGTAGCCTACATGCTGCTGACAGCACAGGCCCGGGAGCCCGGGGTCCGCAGCATGGGGACCCAGGCTGAGGGCAGTGAGCAGCACAGTGGAGGAGAAGAGCAGGAAGGTAGTGCACTGGCATGGAGGGGACTCGAAGGTGGGAGCACGTCCAGGATCCTGGAGGTATTGGAATGAGTCCCCCAAGAACAGAAATCCCCAGGTGCACACACCTGAACCCCTAAAGATCATACCTTGGGCTGGGTATGAAGGAGGAGCCACCTTGCAGTGCTTCGCACGCTCTTTCCCTAGCACAGCTGCCCTCTCCTGCTTTCCTGCCTCTGAGCCTTTCCTGGCCTTGCCTCCCCTTCAGTCCATCCTACTGACCATGTATCCTGCCAGCCTCCTAGGACAGACCTCTGGTGATCAGGAAGGGTGCCTGGGGTTAGGCTAGTCATTTACAGAGACCTAGGAATTCATTCACATCTTTTTTTTGGACAACCAAGGGACCAACTGGGACCCGGACCAAAGGAGCAGAAAACAATGCAACTTGGTTGAAAGGAATGGAAGAGCTGCAATTGCTGCAAAGCCTGTTGCTCTGCTATGACTTCTAAACAGTGTGCAGTTTCCTGGGCACCCTATGGTGCCGCGTGACCATCAGGACAGAAAGTTTGGAATGTGCTGAGGTTAATGGTAAGTCATCTTCAAACAT